CACATTGATTTTCTTCATGTTTTGACTACTGCTCTGGTCAGCCGCAAAGCTGGCACCGGGAGACGTCACGGTTTGGCGTTCCTGTGTAGTATGGGGCTAGCCCAAAGTGATATAATGTACAGGTCTGTTGGGTTCAGGGTCTTTCATACTTCGGCGGCCTGCGTGCATGTTGGAGGTGCAAGATACCTGAGCTTGTAATGTTAATTTTTACCTGTGTTCATGGAATAAATCAGCACTGTTTTGAAGCTACTTGGACTGCCTCATCTCTCAGAGTTAGCATGGTACAAAGAACCGGAATACAACACTCAGTCACCCAGTTCTGCAGAATAATTATTTTTGCTATCTGGATCCAGTACTCTACTGATGGAGAGAATGCAGATCTGACTCCTGAGATTAAAAAGGTTTTGAACAGAATACAAAAATTCCAGTAGACCATAAAATCTTTAATCATGTCTGTATGATACCAGAGATAGCAGAGTGACATGTTAAACCACAGGAGCCTTATATTTGATGTTGTATTTTCTCATTCATCTTCATCTAATGACAAACTGAAAATCCCTCTCAAAACATGTATAAAGGCAGAAACAGTTTTTTTCCTCCATTTGTCTACTAGCTGGATGTAACACTTCACCAAAAACCCTTTTACCTCACTCAGTTTCTGTCAGTGGTGTTTGATCTTATGGCATAAATCATCTACAGAAAGAATGGTTTTCCACCTACTCCTTCCAGAGAAAGGAACTTTATACAACAGTTGAAGCTGTATTTTAATAGAGATTAAGATGATAATAGTGTCTGATGATTTTTTTGTGTTGTTTTTTTGTTTTCTTTCCAGGGTTCTGTGGGACCCCCAGGCCCAGAGGGAATTAGTGGACCAAGAGGAGAGTCGGTGAGTCACATTAAATCACTGGCAGGGCTGTCTGACAATAGATAGAGACATAAAGTGGCACTCAAGTAATTCCTTTTTCTGTTCTATCACATTGATTTTCTCATTTAGTCTTTTTCTTTTACATCCTAGGGCAAGCCAGGTGAACCAGGACCATCAGGAAAATCAGGTCTTCCTGGAACTCCAGTGAGTTATCTGGTCCTCCTGTACCTAATGTTTAAATTCACTCCAGAGCATGGATTAAAAGCTGTTACAAGCTTTCCATCTCACAGAAAGCTAAAGTTCAGTAGAGAAATCAGTAAGAGGCATTTTTAGATCAGGCAGTGACTGTGTGTGGAATATAACTTGGGGTGGCTGTGGCTCATGAGGTAGGGCAGTCGTCTCCTGACCAGCAAGTTGGTGGTTCGGCTCCCAGTCTCCCCGCATGCCTAAGTGTCCCTGAGCAAGACACTGAACCCCGAATTGCTCCCGGTGGCTTGACTAGTGCCGGTGCGTGGCAGCCTGTTGTCATTGGTGGGTGAATGGTGTATGATCTCCCTGTAAAGCACTTTGGCCAGTGCAACACACTGTGAGAAAGCCCCATATAAAATACAGTCCATTTACCATAACTGAAGGTGAACCAAAGATGTGAAGTGTTTCGGTCAGGTTATGATGGAAGGAGTAAATATTGTCTTGACTGAGGTGGGAGCATCGATGTCCCCTGAGGAAGATTAGATTGAAAGGAGCTGACCAGGTGTCTGCCAGCAGGAGAAAACTGATTGCCAAGTAATATCAGAACACAGAGATCAGGTTGGAGTGAACAATCTCTAAGAGGCACAAGGCCTGTAATCTCCTCAGCAGGCTTGTGTGCCATGTACAGTTTTTTAAATTCCATAAGTCAAGTCAGTTTTTATTAGTACAGCCCAATATCACAAATCACAAATTTACCTCAAGGGGTTTTACAGCGCGCTGCCCTTAAACCCTCAAATCAGATAAGGGAACACTCCCCCTTAAAACCCTTTAACAAGAAACAAATGGAAGAAACCTCAAGACATGTAACAGAGGAGGGCAGACATGCAGTAGATGTTGTGTGTACAGAATAAATCAGCATAATAAAATTATAGTATGGACAATTAGAATGATAAAAATGTACATTGTACAGAGTCCCAGGAGACAAAAGGTCTGATAATGCAGAATGGGAGGGGAAAAGTTCAGTGTGTGATCAGGGTTTTCCTTTGGAGACATCATGCCAGTATCAGGAGGACAGTATTATGAAGCACCATTCACACATATAGGAGAAATAAACCAGTGTATATGAAAAGAGGAAAGGGCAGAATGTTCATAGGTATAGTTTTATCGGTAACACTTTACAATAAGGGTACATTAATTAACCGTACTTAATGCAGTAATAAGCATTAACTAATAGGTAACTAATGCATTTATTGATCATGTACTAATGTTTTTCATGTTAATTAAAGTGTTTAACGACACTGCTGACATTTGTTGATGCAGTAATAAGCATTAACTAAATGTTAAATAATACAATAATAAGCATTGCATTCAACAACTTAAATGTCTCTTGGTAACACTAGACATTACCAGATAAAGATATTAACATTTATTTCACAAAGTTCACAGCTTAGCAGTTTCATTAGGAGAAGGCTGTTTTAATGTTCATTTAAGCATAATAATTGTCCACTTACTTGTCCATCCTCCAACCAACGAATTCACTTTGTCCTCGCTCCACGTTCATCTAAGGTGGTATCTTCCAGCTTCTGATTGACTGAACGCACATGATGCAGGTATGCAGCAGTGGGCAGGGCATGGATAGTTGGAAAGCATGCACGGTGGTAGCTCTCGAGGACCTGACTTGTCCACCCCTGCTGTATACTGTAAGCATTACTTACTCGTAATTATGCATTTATTAATGCTCTTTAAAAATGTATAACAGTAGTGAGTAACCATTACTTAACCTTTATTAACCATTTGTTAATGCTCTCTGTGACGCTTATTGTAAAGTGGGAACCATATATGCATGAACTAACACTTCATAAATATGTATCACAGTGGTTAGTAACCATTACTTAACCTTTATTAACCATTTGTTAATGCTCTCTGTGACCCTGTAAAGTCTAAAACATGTATTTATAAACAAGAGCATTTAACGTTTAGTTAATGCTTATTACTGCATCTACAAATGTTAGCAGCGATGTTAAGAACTATTAAATAATGTATGAGGTAATACTTTAATTAACATGAAAAACATTAGTACATGATTAATAAATACATTAGTTACCTATTAGTTAATGCTTATTACTGCATTAAGTACGGTTAATTAATGTACCCTTATTGTAAAGTGTTACCGTTTTATCCAAATCACTGCCCAACTGTGAGCGCGATCAATAATACTTCTCATTTCCCATTAACCCACAATTATCTCCATAATCTATAGGGATAACTATAGGTTTTAGTGTTTGTTATTGTGATTTAAAGTGATGTTTTTATTTTGAGGACTCTGGAAGATCCTAATTTAAAAAATCAAATAATTTCAGATAAAAGAGAAAGCTGAGTTCTGGAAAGCTCAGCCACTTTAACTTGTCACTGTGGCTTGAGAAGGCCTTGAAAACAGAACAATTCTTTATCTGTTTTGTTTGTTTTTCACCCTGCACTGTGTACTAGCAGTGTGTCTACCCAGCTTTGGCCTGCCGTGAAACAATACAAGCTGTTGTTCAAGTGAAATTAAGTGCTGATTAAACCTTTTAGTTTGTGGTTTTCAGTGTGTTCTGTGCACTTGCAGCATATAAATTACACAACAGTCAAACAGGCAGCACTAGCTTTGTCAGGCCTGTGATGACAGTTATGTGCTGTGAATCACCCTCAAAAACTGTGTTTAATAATTGCATCAGTGAGCTTAGCATACTTTTGTTCCACAACTGGGATTCATATTTCTCACAGCGACACGGTGGGTTTAGGCAGATTTGTCAGATTGCTGACACAGTGAGTTTGAAGAGAATGGCAATCTGTATTTTGCTAGAGAAAAGAGAAGTCTAAATTGAATAATTAGGTTTGATTTTAATATCAGGTATAAATTTTAATAAACTAGGTCATCACACAGTCAAACTATTTGCATTATGACAATAGGGATAACAGGGTTGTACAGTAGAGTCAAGAAAAAGGAAAGGAGAAAAGAGGAGTACACCATAGTTAACATGAGTTGATCCAACAGGTGTGAGCAAAGACCAGTAGACTCAGCAGCAGCATTACAGCAAAAGACTGTTTATTTAGTCAAGATTATGTTTCAAGCTTTTAAAAACTTGGATTCAAATCCTAAAGCGTAACTAAACTTGCAGCTGTTAATTGCTGCACTGATGTAGAAGTGTAAACTAGGACCCGGTTACTGTGGGGTGTCCTGATTCAAATGTTTCTGAATTCATTTTGGTCCACAGAAGTAAGTTACCTTACCCTTTTTTGTTTTGTTTTGTATGTGTTGTTTCTAGCTGAGGCATCATGTACACTTGCATCTACAATGCAGATTTTGCTTGAGGGAATTTTCCACAACTCCAACTCATATTATTTTTCTGTTAAAATGAAGATTAAATCCCTGGGGAATGTGCTACAAGTTATTATTTTCCAAAAAGCCATGAACATGTTTTTATTTATGCTTTGAGGCCACAAAAGGCCTCTGCCCTGGTAACATGTCATTTCAAAGAGCTGTCCCAGTCCTCATAAAGAAATCAGAGCCTTTGTATCCTATTTAGATGTAAATTAATGTAAATTATGTGACAGTTCATAGACGAAGAGGATGGACAAGAAGACAATGCAGAGATCATCATGAGAGATTTGTAACAAAAATCAAATGCAGTACATAAGGATCGTGAGATCTTGTGAGACCTGTTAAAAAGAATGTGACACCTTGGTATCATCCACAACAGAATATTTTGGTCCGTGGGCTGAAGGATGGCTTCTTGAAGTAAGAGTAACTGTTGCCAACTGGAGGGCAGACAATATGCAGCCAGATGTCAGAGAGGATTTCATGATATCAGTCAGCAGAGGGAGCAGATCATCAGGAATAGCCTGGAGGAAGGAGGAGGGCACGAAGCACACGCACAGTTATTAGAAGAGGAGAGCTCAGTGATTTCACTAGATGGTAGAGGTATTTAGAGGTAGGATCAGATATTGTCAGACGGCCAGATTTACTTTGAATTAAAGAAGGATGTAGTGAGGTGATAGATACAGAAAAGATGGAGAAGAATAGGACTGTCAAGTATATAAAGAATGTGGAGATGTGGAGACTGGAAAATGGGCAAGTGAAATATTCTTTAATTTCTGTGAACATGTGCACTCTGTGGATGCCATAACCAGCTTGTCTTCAGTCCCACATGTCTCTTGTAAATATGAATTTGAATCTCTTCCAGCTGGGATGTTCCACCATGAGACTGGTTTATGAGATTTTTATACAGGGTACTACTGCATGTTGATAAGAACTACAGTGAAATGGTAATCCTGATGAATCCTCATTAATGAGCAAGGCTTTTAGTATATAAGTGCAGTATTACATATGTGTGCCATGTGACAAAGGGCCATGTCTCTGTTGTCATACAGGGTCTCAGGGGACATAAGGGAGAGTCTGGCACCCCAGGATTACCAGGCTTCAGTGGGCCTAAAGGCCCTGCAGTGAGTTATAAGATTCTACACATTTTGATCAAAGCAGGCCTATTACCACTTGTTAGTAATGTTAACTTTGATCTTGTTTTTCAGGGACCACCTGGTCCAGTTGGCCCAGAGGGAAAACAAGTGAGCACTTGTTAAATCCATCGATGACTATTATAATAAAATATACTTTATCTTGTAAGTTGATTTCTTTTTCATATCCACTCTGGTGTTTTCTAGGGGATGCCAGGCAGAGTTGGTGATCGTGGCCTCAAAGGAGATAAGGTGAGTACTAGGAATGAATCAATATTTGCAGTATTTTAAACGTGAAGATGGAGAAGCAAAACCTCTCCAGTAACATACAAACAATAAATAAATAAAAGAATGTTCCGTTATATGACTCACTAATGACACGGTGCTGGTTCTTAAATATGGATCTTTACATTATAGTTTGCTTAGTCCAACCTTGCTGTTTTAGTGAGCGACTCTGTCAACATTGTGTGCAAAATCACCATAACAGCTTTTCAGTTTTTTTTATCAATAGTTTTTTACATTTTTAGTTTAAACAAATTTTACATTCATCATTAAGATCATTAACATTTAACAGCTTTTATTCAGTCGGCATCAGAATGACTTTTTTTGTCTTCTTTGTTGATGGTGGGGTTTAAATATCTTGCATTTATTTTTTTTATCAATTTAATGGGTAACATGCTTATGTTATGCTGAATATTTTGTAAGCAATTAAATCTGTAGCCTACACATACAGATAGTAATATAGTGCATGCATAAATATGAAACAACAACAAATATTTTTGTGATACAGACAGATTCTGGTAAAAATACAGAATGGAGCCCTACAGCCATACTGAGCACATAAGGATCGTACTCAACTTCTCTAATGACTTTTCTTCATATCCAGTGAGACAGCAGTTATTCTGAAGATCAAGCCTAAACATTTACAAATGCTGTTTTCTAATCTAGGGTGACCCAGGTGTGAAGGGAGATAAAGGACTTGCAGGAGAGCCAGGTATGCCAGGAAACCCTGGACCCCCAGGCAGAAAGGGCCATACAGGGATGATGGGCATGTCAGGACCTCCAGGAGAACTAGGCCCTCCAGGGGCACAAGGACCTTCAGGAAACCCTGGTCTCCCAGGCCCAAGGGTGAGTCGCATCCATGAATAAATTAATATTGAATCATTCAATACTGAAACAGTGTTTAATGCTGCAGTAATATGCAGGGATGACTGAGATGAGTGAGTTCATCATTCATATCTGTAATTTCAGGGAGAGTCAGTATCACTGGAGCAGATGAGGCGGCTCATACAGGAGGAGCTGACAAAGCAGTTAGATGGTGAGGAGGCAGTTTTCTTTGTGGTCTCCTCTCAACACTAGATCTCAGTGAAATTCTTGGTTCATTTGGACTAACTGAAGATAACATTAACAGACTTCAGTGAAACACTTTTCTTTGGTTTCTAGCCAAAATGGCTTACCTCATGACTCAGATGCAGCCAGCCCACGTGAAGAGTACAGCAGGCCGTCCGGGACCTCCAGGCCCTCCAGGGAAGGATGGCAGTTCTGGACGACCCGGCCCTCCTGGAGAGCCTGGTATGCCGGGACAGAACGGAGGAGAAGGACCCAGGGGACCCATGGGCCCTAAAGGTAGGGCAAACATTGATATCAGTGTTTCT